TTATGTTAATATCGGACTCCATTGCCGCGCAAACATTGGTTATAAACTCTTTGAACTCCAAGTATAGCTCACTTTCAGCAGTCTTTATAAAATCCATTGTAATTATGAGTGCATTCCTCTCATCCTAACAGTAAAAGTAGATATTATTTGTCATCATTTATATTCAAATAAAGTAGTAATTGATATTCAAATCACAATTACCAGGTTCATAGTCCAATACTGTCGGTCACTATCATAGTAAGTAATGGATCGCATCGAATGAATCTCAAGTGAGCCATGTTTGAGTAATATCAATTGATCCTGGTCACATAGAGTATTAAATCCGAATAAATGTCTACACATTTTGACCACATTTGCGATATCAGTGTTGCGTTGAATGTCTATAATTTGGTAGAACTGGTCGATTGTCACCACAACGGATGTGTTATTCGAGGTCTGAATTTTGAGTAAATCTGTGGCACTCATGAGTTCCGTAAAGCGATTGCCTTCTAATTCATTGAATATATTGCTGTCAGTGAGGGGTCGGTCCACCGGACAGATACTCATTCCAAGAGTGAATGCCCTCTCGTAAGCCTTCGTCCGCTTATCATTCACTAAACTTGTGCTAAATATGTGGTCAGTATTAATGTGAGCTTGGTTGTTTGTATTAGTAATGCATAGTAAAGGCACTGTTGATTGTGTTGATGTATGATCTGGATCAGCCTCGGGTTCAGTGACTTCCGGGTCCACTTGATCTGTCATTTTATGGCGCTTTTCTCTATTTTTGGTGATTTTCTCCATTCTCTTGGACTTTGCCACTTCATCCAGGATCATTTGCTATCATTATACAATTACAATATAGCATTTGTTAATTACTTATAGATGTTAAATGAAATATTCTTCGTAAAAATATTTTTAAATTATAAATAATTTATTTTTAATGAGATTTACTCTGAAAATTAATTTATCTAAATATTTTGTAATAGTATTGAAAAGTAACTTGGCAAATTTACTTACTTTATTCATACCTTCATTGAAACACTTATTAATCCGACATTTGGCGCACTTTCTTCTTGTGACCACATTTACCACACAATCGTTTGTATCGTA